AAAAGAAAGGAGAGCAATAATCTGGCTGCCCCCTTCACTTATTATTTATATTAAAAATAATAGAGCAGTACAAAGACAACTATGCCCTTATAGGGTGGAAAGACATAAAACAACATATATAAGACAAAAAACATAATAAGATTTGGACTCACATAACTGTTGTGGTCCCCACCTTCTATCTAACAACTAACATAAAACATCTACTCATAAAAAACATCATAAAACTGATTAATCTTCAACACTCCCCCTCAAGTTGGGAGTAAATGCCACACATTCCCAACTTGTGTAGATCATGTTCAAGCTTGTTCTACCCCTTTAGTGAGAACATCAGCTAGCTGCAATTATGAAGAGACATAAGGCAAACTGACTTCTCTAGTTGTTACCCTTTTTCTTATAAAGTGTCTATTAACTTCAATGTGTTTTGTCCTATCGTGCTGAATTGGATTGTGGGCACTATTGATTGCAGCCTGATTGTCACAGTATAACATCATAGGTTCCTCTGCTTTCACCCCAATCTCACTTAAAAGAGATCTAACCCAAAGAAGTTCTGAGACACCATGAGCCATGGATCTATACTCAGCCTCTGCACTTGACCTTGTCACAACCGCTTGCTTCTTTCTCTTCCAAGAGGAGTGAATCGATCACTTCAGGAGGCTCAGAAAAATCCAGGAACCAAACCGCCCTCTTCAGAAAACCAAAGAAAGCTACCAATTCTTGTCCGCCCAAGATCAGATAAAAAATAAAGAGTCCAACTTTTCCGGGACTCTTCCCCTGTAATCCAGTTCTTCCTGATTTTGATGCCGAACAATAGATCACCTTCCTGATGACTAGATCCCACCAAAAAATCCAAGAATCAGGCAATCTATAACAGATCGATAAGCCCTTTATTACTTCATGCAATCGGCTGATCTAGGGCTGCATGAGAATGCTTCTAGAAACCCTAGCCACTGCTCTGATACCATGTAGAAAGCTTGCTGAATTAAAAAATATGAAATAAAAGGAGTTTCTTGAAGAAAGAAGGAAGAGAGAAGGAGAAGAAGAGAAGTTGAAAAGAAAGGAGAGCAATAATCTGGCTGCCCCCTTCACTTATTATTTATATTAAAAATAATAGAGCAGTACAAAGAC